ACTTGTGTAATCATTAGAGTTGATTTACAGTATTTTAAGTCTTCGCGTACACATGCATAGATGTGTGTGTGTGTATATATATATACACTTTCATTTACACACGTACAAAAAATTCAGATTTAGTACTAGCTAGGTCTCTTTTTCTTATCTGATTGTTATCTGTGCTTTTAAGAAATTATTTAGTTTTAAATGAGTACAAAAATTCCCAGCAAGAGAATGAAAAATCAATATAATACAGCATCAGTCTGTTACTAATGACTGGTATTTTAAAAATAACAGACTGCCCAAAATGTACTGTTTTCAGACAATAAATAAATAATCTGAAGTATTACTAATGAACATGAATAAAATTAACAGTAAAATAAAGATACTTACAATAAAGTCTCTGCTTAATGAGAAAGAAGAGCAGGGTAAGTTTGTTCCATTATAGGGAGAAAATAAATTGTATCGTTAACATAGCATTTTTATTTTATGTGATGTATATCCCCAGTCTGTGTATTAAACCAGCAAATTTAAATAGTTTTGTATCCATAGTACTACAGGATGCCCACAGCTCTTGAATCATTGTAGAGTTCCACTGACATCAAACAGACACAGACTGCACCTACTCTGTATTTTGCCCTATGGTTATTTGAAAGTAGGAACAGGTTTACCACACAAATCAATAGAGAAAAAGCAAGATTATGTTTTATTTCAAGTAAAAAATTACTTAGCTTATTTTTCATTTCAGTGACAGATAGATCAGCTCCTGACCTAATATGGTAAATTTCTGCTTTTGTGTTCACTAGGGTAAGGCTGATTTGATTCCACTGAAGTCTGTTGAGTTAGTCTGTATTTACATTGGTAAATTTCTGAGATTAGTTTGTCCCTGAGCGTTAACATTCCTATTTTTATTTTTCAACACAGCATCAATCAGAATATATAAAGATGGATTAATTGCAATTAGAAATAAAGACTGAATAATGGGAAAACATATTAACAGAAAACTGCCAAGTTCCTCTACATTCAGGAAATCAGTGCACGCATATTATTTTCAAAACATGAATACTTATTCTTGATTTTCAACTTTTTCTTTAGAAAGAAATTCTGTGGAGTATATACATAGGCCTTTTACAATTAATGATGTGGGTTTGCTTCTAATGTTACACTGCAACTGGCAGTGAAAAAAATCCACATCAAGTCATGATTTTCCAGTCTATATCACATTCTGATTCTCATTCACCACCATTATAATCCATGTTAAATCCTACACAACAGGGAATGTTTAATCTAGACGTAGTTCTATTCCTGCTCTCCTCCCCTCCCATGAAGATTTTTATTAGGCTTTGTAAAACATTTTTACTACAAAATCTAAATTTGGAAGTTAAGCTACCTAAAGACATCTTTTCACCTTTCATTTATAAAACTAACCTAAGCAATTGAAATGATATATTGATTTTTTATATATATGATTATTTTGTTGTTATATATATGAGATTTTTGGTTTTGCTAAAGATAAACTAACTTTTCTTTCCTCTGAAAAATTATCTTATTCAAAATTATTAATAAGAAGGGAGCAGAATCAAGATAAATGCCCCTAGCATTACGTGATTGTTCCTCTAAGCACTTCTGTGTTGAAGATCTCAGAATCCAACTAAAAAATAAATTCTGCTTGTGTTACTAATGCAAAAAAATTTCACTGACTTTGGAGGGACTATTTGTATAACAGAGGCGAGGAGGATTTTGTTAGACAACAGAAGGTGGGAAAAAATATTGTAAAAAATAATAACAAGTTTTCAAGGTGAGTAGAAAACATTACTGTTTAACTACTTTATAGATTGTCTTTCATCCATATACAAATGATCCAAAAGAGAATATTACAGGCACTTAACAAAGCCTAGTTTCAGAAATACCATAGTACCAAACAATTTTATTAATATTTCATACAAATTTTTAAGTCAATTCTGGCTAATATTTTGATGTTGCTGAAGGCAAACAAAATTCATGAACAATAGCTTTCTGTGTTTTACATTGGACTGAATGTTGTAAGTAACTATCTTAATTATAAACTAACCTAGAATTGTAATGATTGAAGCAGGGTAAAACCAATACATTTTGTTTTCTTTACTTTATTTCAAAATAGAGTGATTATAAATACATTCTTGTTATATTTCCTTCCCAACTCTTTGGATGCAACCAAAAAAAAAAAACCTCACTGTGCTCATTTCATACAAATTCAATGTACAAATCATGCAAAAGATATTATAGATATTATACCACTATCAAGTTCTGGATATGTTTTTTTGATTCTGAAACATTTGTTAACATTATTCACAAGGCCATGCCTTTTATATCGTCATTATGGCTTTTTAAAAAAAATCATTTAAAAAAAAAGATTTTTATACTTGATTTCTATATTATTGTCAATCTTGAACACTAAATGCAAAATGTAAATCATCTAATGGGCTCGTGTTCTTGCACCATGTTTGCTTTCTGATAAAATTGCACAATTTTTTTCTTTTTCAAGGAAACGATTACACTTTATTGATTTTATTTAAAAATGGAAACTTCTTTATAATACAATGAAAACAACAGATTATGTTAACACCTTCACTGATTTAGTTTATGTCTATGGGTCTTAACAGCCATTTTACAAGCATGGCCACTCAAACCAACATAATGAACAGATAGATCTGTTAAGCCACATCCGAAGAGTCACCTTCCCAGATAGACTGACTATAGATTTGAATGGACATTACACTAAAACTGCTGTGCAGACACATACACTGATTCAAAACATGGAGGAAATAAACTGACATTAAGGTTGTCATTCAAAGTAACAATTTCACAGAAATATAGTGTTTTGCCAACTTCTGCGTTCTTCACTCACACTATTATGCCTACATATTGCACCATATACATAAAACACTTAGGAACAATTTCTACAGGAAGGTCCAGATTGTGCAACCTTTATTGATGCTGGTGAATCGACGCTCAACTGCATAATCCCAAAAGAGTGTCACTGGTCTCTATGTATTATATACAATATTTCTGAGATGGCTCTTTCTTAAGTCAATGCCAAAACTCTTATCTAAGCCCCACACTTGGGCAGGTGTTTAATTATTAGCTCATGAATAGTACCTCTGCACATGATTTAGGTTGAGCTTAAATGCTTTACTGGATTGGGACCTCAATGAGCAGGAAAATCTGGCCCAGTGTAATGGTACAGCATAACAATTCAGTTCTTCCTCTTTTGATCAGTGAATAGAAGACCTCACCACAAAAAAAAAAAAAAAAAAAAACAAACACAACAAAAAACAAAATCTCAATTTTTTAGTTGAGGAAGATATGATCATTTATCATTGCTCTTTCAACTCAGGGCAACACGAGTCATAAGCACATCAGTTTTAATGTCACTTAAAAACATTAGCTTATTTGCTATTTTTAATATTTTTAATGCATGCCTCTCGATAGAAGGGTATGGACATGACAGTCTCTGACAATGCACTGAAGTGTGTCAGAAGTCTTATGCTTTGGCAAATCCCAGTGAATCTTGACACCTCCTCAAAGCCATGCAGCACTGTGCAGAGTAGGCACAGTGACCCATTCTTCTTAGCCTACTGATGGAGCCATTATAGTCTATCATGTCATCTTTAACACTCCTTAATCCACAGACACTTGACACAATAAACTCAAATGTTCTTACTCAAGCCTTGGCCATTTATTGCATCATTGGGCAACCAAGAACTTTTTATGCTAGAAACACATATATGCATAGTATCCATGTCCTGAAAATCTCTATGACATCCTGAATGAAGTCAATTATTGTGCATGGATAGCAGCAGCTTTTTGAAAAGAAACTCAGCGATTAATCTATCTGTTATAATTTTATTATCTGAAGTTATGCATATACTTTGTAGTATGGAGAAAAATAATAAAACAAGCCTCTTTCTAAGTTACAAGAATATAAACAAATGTCTGAAAGTAGAAAAATGTTGTTTTGTTTTGCTTTCTCTTAAATAAAGAAACAGTGCCTTTTTTTTCTTTTTTGTAAACTTTGTTAAAAACATACTGCAGGCTGTTTGCCAAGTATCATTCCAGAATAAAAATTTCACAGCAGTGTCATAAAGCCCTGAAATTGGAAGTTTATAATGGAAATAGCTGACACAGCCTTCTCCATAGTATTATTATTGGGTCTTGCTGTAATATTTGCTAGTTTCAAATTCATGAAAAGCATTCATGTTTATATCCTACTAATCTTAATTGATTTATCTATTGATTATAAAAGGTGGGGGGGAGGTTCTGGAAGCAAAGGAGATAGAGGGTCTTATACAAAGCTCATTGAAATGAATGAAAAAATTCCTTTTCAAGTCAAAGAACTGTTAATCTCATAGTATAGATTTGCTGTATGATGCTTTACCTATATATCTCCATTTTCATCTCAAGGTGCCATCTACCAGTGAGATACAGTGGGGATTTTCCATTCTCTACTTTTTTTTCCTAGCTATTCAGATTCAGCTTTCACAAAGGCAAGTTTTTACTCTCTAGATACAAGCTACACAATACTCTGAACTGAGACCACTATATTAATTTTACACTGTGGTTTTAAAATAGACATGATTTGCCATATTGTTCACTGTTCTGATCAGTTTTTTCTGACTGACAGACAGATAATAAGAACAGAAAACTTATGCATATACAATTAAAATATTACCCTTACCATGAATTCCTGTAAATACTTGTAGTGAAAACTATTTAGATTAAGCTGTAGAGCCCTGAAAAGCAAGACAACTGATGGCAAATAATTGCCTGAGACACAATACTAAAAAACTAATGAATCTATTTTAAAATGCACCATTGGTAACAAATCTGAAATAAGATAATATGCTAATTTCACAAGAATATTACAGAACAATTTTATTATTATTATATCCGATCACTTAATTCTGGATGATTCTATATATTACATCCCCAGTTTCCGTTTGGTATATTGTTCTGTTTTTATTTATACTGAATGATTAATGCATTGTGATCAGGAAAACAAGTCAGGCATATTAAATACATATTAAGGAGTACATATTTTTCCTATTTAGTATACAAAGTATTTCATAAATATGAATTATATTACAAAAATAATTTCTGCTACGCTCACACAGTAAGCAATTTGACAATTTTGGACAACCTGTTGGGGTTGCAAGTGTTTCACGTAACTGAGAAGGAACTCTAGTTTTAATTGGAGATGAGTCTTACAACAGATTCTGCATAAACATCAAATATTTTCTTCAGATGCCACAAATACTGCAGAAGTCAGTTTGAACTATTTTCTTTCTTTTTTTTTTTAATTTTATGTATAGACATGTATCCTTCAAGTGGTCAAATTTATTTCATAGGTATGTAATGCATGGTATATTTTAAACAAATATTTGCACAATTTAACATTATAATTCCAGTGGTTTCAAGATGCAGGCCATAAATGTAACCAATTTACACATACTATCGAATGTTCTCTCTTTGCATGCTTGTTACTTTTCAGATAATCTTTTAACAGTGCCATTACAACACCACAAATCAAAGGATTACTCCAGTTCCACCAACTTAAATCCACGTGCAGGATGAACGACCCAGCTGAGGTACAAATACCAGTACCAGGTTTCTTGTGTTTGTTCTAACAAATCACAAGGAGACGATGGTTTTGCATTTAAGGTACAAAACATATATGCCTCTTGAGGTTAAATTCAGTGTAATTTGTATAAAGCATCCCTTTGGCAATAGAGTTTGCAGTATCCCTACAGGATTCCACAGGGCATGAGCTTTATGTAGTAAAATCCATTAAGGAAATTCTCCTCTACTTGATAAATCATATGCAGCTACAGCTAATCAGACACCCTTGGATACACCTGCCTCTATGCCTATCAATATAATATAGTATTTGGAAGTTAAAAGTCAACAAAAGGCACTTTCATCATTAAATAAATGTCCTCTGTAGGCAATAAGATTGCATGACCTATATTTTATTCAAAGCTGTTTGCTCTTCAAGGACTTGTAGGTAGTCAGGTGAACCTTGAAGTTTAGCTTTTAGTTCAAAATATTCACTTTTTCTTTGTTCCACTACAATTTTACTATGATTACCACCTATTAGAGATTTCTTGGGTTTTTTGTCTTGTTGTTTCTCTGGATAACGTATTTCAAAGCCACTGACACCTATGCTGTTGTATTCTTTTTTACTTTCCAGAAAATTTTGAATAAATACATTGGAATCCCTCCCAGGGAATAACTCATCCAGTTCATCGATTGTGCTAAGTCTTTTTCTGGTATCCACATGCAATAAATCTTTCTCCTTGTCATTAATATTTCTCAGAATGACTTTTTGCCCTGGTGGGTCAGCAAATGTGAAGCCTGTTTCAGACTCTTTTAAGCCACAGGTATGACTTTTGCTCATCTGCTCAATGGTTTGAGGAATGAAGGCCTCTGCACCTAGTCCATCTTTTTTGTTTGACTTGTGATCGTGCTTTCTTAGCTGCAGTTGCATAGAACTGCATTCTTGATTTCCAATCCCTTCATGCTTTACAGTTGGTTTTTTGTTGCGCCGAAGCACAAAAACAAGAAGACAAAAAGCAACAAACACTGTTAAAATAAGCACAACTAATATGCTTAAGATTAGGATGGACAATGGAACTGGGCCACCAGGAGGACTCCGAACTGGTCCCAGTGCTGTTGTAAAAGTAACAGCGGGCATAGGACTAGTGAACAGAGCAGATGGCTTGTTTAAAAGTTTAGGACAGAGGATCTCATTTTTCAGAGACTTAAGTTCAATGTTAGCAAACTGTACAGGTGTTTCACATTTCAATTCCTTCACCACAATACCGTCATTTAGCTTTTCAAGCCACAGTTTTAAAGCAACTAAATCACAAGTGCAGTCCCATGGATTACCTTCCAAATCAATCTGTGTAAGAGATTTTAGCTGATCAAGAACGCCACTTACAGGTAAATACATGAAATGATTGTTCCTCAGATTCAGCCTAGCAAGTGGTGCACCAGCAAAAACGTATGCTGGCAAGCTTCGTAGAAGATTGTTGTTCAGGTAGAGCAACTGCAAATTTGGCATTAAGTCAAAGGTGCCTGCTAGGATTTCTTTGATAACATTGTATTCCAGATACAGATATTGCAAGTTGTGGAGGCCAGCAAACATTTCTGGGCTCAGACGCTCTATCTGATTGCCATTGAGATACAATCTCCGTAAATTTGTAAGGTTGCGGAAAACTTCTCCTTTGATCACTGAAATATGATTGCTGCCTAAATGTAGCAAATCCAGCCCCTCAAATTCAATGAAATCCGTAGTGTCCACATCCTTAATATAATTGCCATTTACATGCAGTTTCTTGGCATTTAAAGGTTTTGGTACGAGTTCAGCCATTGACTCTATATTTCTTTCTTGGCAATTTACACTTAATCCCAAGTCCGAAGGATGAGTTTTGCAAACACAGGGGACTGGACAAGGAGTTAAAGGAGGCACCCTGGTCTGGTAAGATACAATTTGACTGAGATTGCGATTAGACAGTGCTTTGCCTGCTACTATCCCCGAGATCTTCGAAGGATTTGTAGTCTTTGGCGGCTTTGTGACTAATCTGTGCACTGACGTTTGAGTGGTGTGGCCATTCGGTGTGCTGTAACCGGGCTCCAGTTGCGAGGGAGGCAGAATGCGCACATCAAAATCACTCCCTGTCCCCATGGAGCACAGCTCTTGCTTGTTGGTTTCTTTCAGTAGCCTTCCATACAAGTCACTGGGTGTTTCACAGATAGCTTCTCCAATGTAGATGTTATAGGGCATGTTCTCCAGCCATGCTTTCAAAGGCAACAAATCACAAGTACAATTCCAGGGGTTGTCTTCCAGCTGCAATTCGACAATTCGCCCAATGTGTTCCAGAACTCCAATGTATGGAAGCTTCTGTATTCGATTCCCTCGTATATCCAGATGGGTTAGAGAAGCAAATCGAAAAATGTTGTCGGGAAGGAATGAAATCAGATTGTCATTAAGGATCAGGACTTTCAGCTTGTGAAGCTTATTGAAGGCTCCCCGTTCAATAAACTTGATTAAATTGTAGTCAGCTTGGAGATACTCCAAGTTCTCTATGCCAAGGAAAGTGTCAGCTCGGAGAATCTTTAATTCATTGTTGTTCAAGTGCAACTGTTTTAATGCACTAAGACCCATAAAGGCCCCTCCCTCAATGTTCTGTAATTTATTATTACCCAGTTGCAAGGACACTGCATGTGTAAAATTAAGAAAGGTATTTGGATATAGAATAATTAGCAGGTTGTTTTGAAAGTTGAGGTGGTAAAAATTAGACCATGGTGGTTTAAGTTGATTTGGTCTGTAGAGTGCAACCTTCTCACAGTTGACATAGAGTACATTCTCAACTGACACACAGGAGCAAACATTGCAAATTTCCACAGATATATCAGCATCTGCAGTTGTAGAAGAAACTGGAGATGACAGAACCAGAAAGAGCCACAGAAACATCTTCTTGTGATCAGCAAGCAACCTTAGGCTCCTGAACAAAGATAAAGAATCTGAAGAAGAAAGAAGAAAAGAAAAAAGAAAACATTTTTCAGTTGTCATTGTTCTAAAATGTCATTTGGGTTAAAAATTGTATTCCACTGAGCTACTGTACCTGCCAAGGATTATAGATAAACTACAAGCACTGAATTTAAAATAAAATGAAAGATTTTAACAACCAAACAAATACACGGGAGCTAGAATGATTTCAAATACGGAATGTAAATCTCTGTAGATAAACACATATAACTCTCAGGTCTGTCAAATGTATTTCTTTCTCTTCTACATGCCAAACATGCATAACTAACAAAGTAAAATAACCAAAGGAGATTCCAATTTTATGCATATTTACTGTCCTCAATCCTGCACTGCTCATATGTTGCCATGCATTTCAGGGATATTAAACACAAATGCTGATGTTATGCATGCCCAAACATCTGGGCTGGGATAGCACAATATAGAAAGGATGAAGATGCAGCACAAAAAGCAATGTCAATACTCACTGTATATATCTATAGCATCAACACACACAGATTATCACTACGGTAATAGTGAGATTCACTCAAGGGATACATAGGCATGCACACACATTGTTTCTGTCACTTATTATACCTGGTTTGAATAAATAGGTGGTAAACTGATTGCAGGAATACAATGAACTATCCACAAAACAAGAAGATCAGCTCTGAGTGACCAATGGGAGCACACGGATATGGAAGAAGCATGCAGAGGCATACAGCCCCATTCCCAGGAGTAACAATACCCTGACTTGCAAAACAAAGTCACGTTTCACCAGCCTGACACTACTGAAACCTGAGAACTTTTTTTTGGTAAAACATTATGTAATTTCCTCTTATCCCTGCACTGATACAGAGGTGGCTTTCAAGAACCCTTCACATACAGTCAGGCCAGCTGAGCTGCCATTTTTTACGCAGAAGAACTGGAGCCACAGCATTTCCTCTGACTTAGAAGGTAGCTTCTTTTTTTTTTTTTAAACAAATCAGTCAATAATCAATACATTGTTCCCCCCACCTTCCCCATTGCCCCCATTTCCCAACTTGTCCCTTTCATTTCCTGCTGTGGAAAGCCACTGAGTTGGCAAGAGGGAGCCAGGATGGAAGTGGTGAAAGCAGGAGCCAGCTGGAGGGAGGAGAATCGGGCTGGAGGGAGCTGCAAGGAGGGGAAGATGCGCCAGGGGACCTGGAATGGAGGGCAGAGAAGGTATGAGGGGGGAAGGAAAGGAGGACAGAAGGACAAGAGGGAGAGGGAAAGCTGAGAGGAGGGAGGGAAGGAAGAGGGGAAGGGATGGCTGAAGGGGTCAAGGAGGCCGCGGAGAGGGGCCACGGGGAGAAGAAGGAGAGGAGCAGCCGCTGCTGCTCCCCGCAGGCTCCCGACCCTGGCCGCGGCGAGCCCCCCGGGGCAGGCCCAAGCCCGCCCCCCCCCCCCCCTCACCCCTCCATCCCCCCCCCCCTCCCAGCCGCCGTCCCCCCATATCCCTGCCTCGCCCACGCTCGAGTCCCCTCTTCTTCCTCAGCTCCGGGGCCCCGGCCGGTGCCGAGCGGGCACGCTGCGGGCGCTGTGCGGAGCTGGCGGCGAGTCGGCGAGCCCGGCCAGGAATGCAGGCACTACCGCAATTTTTTGCCGCAACCGGCTCGGCTGGTGCCGGCTCCCCTCTGTCGTGGGCGCCCCGTCGCCCTCTGCCTCCCGGAGGGGGAAGGCAGGAGGGACACGGGCGCACACACACCGCACGCACATGCCGGCTGGGAACGGGCGCAGCGCGGCGATGCAGCCCAGCATCCCTTCCACCCTCCCTTTGCAACAAGGCACAACCGCGGTCCCCGCCGCCAAATGCTCCCCACCCTCCTTCGGCACCTTTGCAAAGTCCAGCCCGCAGCACATTCACACACCCCCTTCCCCCGGTCCCACTGCACAGATCCTGCCCCCCCAGTCCCTCCCACACCTCCACCAGCTTATCCGGGCCGCCCGCAAAGGATCGGAGCGGGCAGCGCTGCGCCCGGTGCCGCTGGCTCGGGGCTCCGGGAGGCGGCCGGCTGGCGGCGAGAGGCGAGAGCGATGGCAGAGAGGCTCCGGCAGGAA